CAAAATATATTAAATTTATGATAATTTTGTATTTCATTATCTTTTGACAGCATTTTAGCAATTAGAACTTTTTTACGGAGCTTTGATGTCTATTGCGTGAACAGCATGCTCTCATCAAATTTCTTAACTAATGCTTCCTTAGTTAAAGCGAAACAAGTACTATAAGAAAACTGTACTGACAATATGAAATTCCCTTATGATGTACACAAGACAAAAATGGTTTTAAGACTCGTTCACACCGGCGATCCTATTGCTCGGAATGGATTTTGTTGGATCCTAAGAAACGGATCATGTGGACACGTCTAAAGTTAGCCTCCGACAGTCGGACCGTCAATCGAAAATATCGGATGGAAATAGAACTTTCTTTATACTTCATTCATCCAATATCATGAAGGAAGCCGACAGCTAACTTACATAGATTCAAATAAGACTTGAAAACATGAACAAAAATACAAAAAAATGCATCGATAAATGTACTGCATATCACAAATGGCTATTTACAGGACTATAAATATATAAACGAATATAAATATCAACAAAATTTCTGTACTGTCTGAACAAGCAACCAAAAGTTGGAACACAACAAATGGGATCCGACGAATCTGATCTCGTGAACGGGAATTTTTACTTTGCAACAATAAAATACCGGATGTGGCAAAAAATGTTCTTTCTCGTGCTACAATGTTTAGCTCAGGATTCCGTATTTAGGTTGACAAGGCGATTCCATATATAAAGCACTAATAAGAAAATATACTACGATTTCGTCAAATAGTCAGTAACAAAACAAAAGAAATATCATATTGCCTTTTAAAGAAAGACAAAATACTAACTTTAGAGTGTAGCAACTTAATTTTTGAATTTACTTCAGTGTTCAGGCTTTTTTCAATCATACGTAAGTAAAACTAACCAATCTCTTCCATGAAAGAATTAACTTAGCTACAGGCAAAATCCAACCCCATGCAACCAAAGCGCTATTCATGATCACCTAACTATCAGGTATAACGCGCAACACATAGCTAACTGACATTTTGAACTTGACACATTAAATGACCTAAATTAATCACATGACTTTTCACAATAACAATAAAACTAACTTTATACTGTCCTCATTTTAACATCCTAATGTTCTAAGGTTTTGATTTTCTGAATTGAGGTGTTTTGTATAAAGGTTTTAAAAAACTTCAGCTGAACACAACTTTGAGGTCTTCTAAATGCCTTGTATGTTTCCTTTCTAACTCCTTACTCTAAATTTGAATAGTAACACCTTTCCAATTATTTCTTTTCATTGCTTAGATCATTTCTAATTATTTGAAACCGCGCTTGCTTGTAAAAAATCAATTAACCGGATAATGACTTTGAAATGTAGTCAAAATGATGCCTTTAGGCCCTGTCTCTTGCAAATATAACTCTTATCTGGAGTTTACAAGATGCTATTTTTTTGGATCCATTCTGTAATAAAATGTAAAGAATTTGGGTTGTTTAAACAACTTATTTTGCACGCAGTAAAGTTAAATTTAATCTGATGCAATTTTCCAACAATATTATATGTTTTTGCAATATTTACTGAGATAAGGCTGTTTTAATTAAGACAGAGTTTTTTGAGAGAAGCAGAAAATTAGTTACATACCTACTCAAATAATATTATTTTTAAAGTAGTACTGAATTTGACCTGCAGAAGTAAGATGTCCTTTTCATTATCATTTTTAAATGAATGAAACAATATGACGAAAAAACAGACAATTTTTGTTCGTGTGTATGGCTGCGTGCTTCACTTGTACATATTTAATTATTAATGCCCATATTTACATTTTTTGTTTTTCGAAACCTGCTTTCTTACATTGATAAAGTGAGATAAATTGTTATATTGTACGATTTTTCTGTAAAAACATGAAGCATAATTTAAGTGTAATGTTCCCTTTTTAAATTTTTGTTAATAGCATAACTTTTTCAGTTATTGAGTAGAACGAGGAGAACGATTTTTATGCTCACCCTTTATAAATAGAGTAAACATCATTAAACATAAGGTAATCATCATTTCATTACAGAAAAGTACTTAAAGAAACAAACGCTATAAAAGCTAATATGTTTATGGTAATTAACTTATAGCTAAGCTGCCTTTACTTTGACGAGGATGTTTATGTAAGACAAAATGTTTTTAAAAAAATCTATAAAGGTGCAGTTGGCAATATTTTTGTGTTTTGAATATTTTCTTCAAATCAGTTGTTTCAACTTTTGCTATGATTCTTCACACAAAGGTAAGGCACATTGTGTAGAAAATAGTATAAATAGATTTGGTCGTGAAATGTAAAAAAATTGCGTTTACATCCAGAATCTTTTCTCTTATCAAAATTGTTTTTGACATATTTCGTGTTCATTTTAGGTCAGAGACTATGGACCGATGTATATAAAAAAATTAATGTCAAAAGTGAGATGGAATGCATTGTTTCCTGCGTTAAGGAATCATGTTGTCGATCTATAAACCACAGGAGAATATTAAGTCAAGGAAGTTGGAGTCTTTGTGAAATGCTACATAGTGTTCTCAACAACATTAATAAAAACGATTTAAAACAAAATCGATTTTATGATTACATTTTTTTCAACTCCCCTTTCAAGGTAAAAATAAATTTTAAGTCAATAGAAGAATAATTGTGTTGGTAAAAATGTTCCTTCAGGAATACATAAGTATTATGTCAAAAAAATGTATATCTAGTTATGTAATATCTTAAAATATCTGTTATTTAAACACAAATTGCTTGTTCTCCATCACAAATATTAATTTTTGTTGTTTAGGAGTACAATAAAACATGCGAAGTCCAATCGTGTAAGTTTAGATGGTTTTTACAAACACTGTGGTTTTTTATTTTGATGTAAATATAAGAAATTTTAATTTATCCTTAGCACTCAACAAAAGTTACGATTTGCTCTTCAAAAATGCACATGTTGAGAACGTGGTTCTATTGGATAATGCGATGCCCAATATGTCAGCGATAACGTTGATGTTTTACGCAAAAATTAACTCAAGTCAACGAATGGCGGTGTTTTCTTACGCTATAGAAGATAGTCCCGATGAATTTTTTGTTGGCGTTGAAAGAAATTTCCTTGTTGTCATATTGCAGTCCAAGCATATTTTGTAAGAGGAAAATGTTATAGTTTACTTTCTTTCTTAGTAACAACAACTCATTAAAATTGCACATCTAAAATTGTATGAGTTGCGTTAGCTTTAAAATAGCTTATATCACGAAATATTTTTTATTTTTAGAAGACTTAAACACAATACATTAAACTATTTGCTGTTATTGCGAATAAACATACTCATTTATTTGCATCGCTCATTAATCAAAAGTTTGTTGAAGTGCACAAAAAGATGCCATTTTGAACACAACACACACACAAGACATTTGCGTTAGGTTGATTTGCATTAGTTTTTTAGGTGGCCCAGAAGTCCGTTTAAGTTTTTTATTCAAACGATATGTGTATATAAGGAATACATTATTTGTTTTATGTACATTGTTTGTCACGCAAGCGATCTCGCGTGACTTCCACGTTTGTTTGCTTAAAAGGTCTTATATTTTTAACAAGGTTGGCAACTCTTAACACAAAATTACCGACCGTTAACACAAACACTTTCACAAAACTGCAAATATCACATAAGTACATGGCAAAACACGTAAAACAATATCACGTAGGTTTTCCCAAAAATTTGCCAAAACCCCTTAAAACATTTGCATTTTTTTATACTTAGAAATACATTTGAGTATTAAAAAAGTACAAAAATATTGTAAATTTATTTGTGATTTAGTGTGTCAAATATTGCACATAAATGAAATTATCTATTTACTATTTACATAAATCGATTGAATAAAAAAACTTACACAGATTTCTGTGCCGCATATAGTAGTTTACATATAAAACTTTCGATATGCACTGTTTTGAAAGATAGGTTTTAATGCTAAGTTGAATGTTTTTACTTATTGAAATTTGGTCCAAAGTTAGTATAAAAGAGGGGATTTGGTGACAACAGAACACACTGAAAATGTAAAAAAAATTTTTGTTCATTGAAAAAAATTTCCAGTTTCTTTATTTGTATCCATTAAAATAGCGTTTAAGAATTCTTAAAAAACAACTTGTTTTGGATAAAGAAGTCTAGAAGTATGCAGTTACGATATAAAGCTTTTTATTTAATGAAAATCATACTAGTTGCCTTAAACTTGCTTTCTTTCCTTATATAATAGAAAACTCAACATTTCGGCAGTCAACGACGGTATCTGGCATCATCTGGCCATCATAATTGGTCGCACTCGTAAAAAAATATTTCTTGATGGATTTACAATTTATAACCAAACTATGGTCAGTCATTCATTACCATTATTACATGGTGGCGGTGTTGTTGCTATTGGTCAAAAACTTGAATGTGAGAATGGTGTATTTGATCCGAATATGTCATTTGTTGGTAAAATAAGTTATTTAAACTTGTGGAATCATGACGTTATTTGTGAGAATTCCAGTCCTATGGTGCTGATTAATGATAAATGCACCACTGGTCTAAATAAAAGTACTCTTGTAATCAAGTGGAATCATGTGTACCAATTTACAAGTGAAAATGTTGTTAAAGTGCCCTCATCACGTAAGTTTAGTAATTCTAATTGGCTTTTTTACTCCAATAATTTTATAATCAAGATAACATTTTTTAAAACAATTCTAAGTAAAAAAACTACCAGCGCATTTTACTAAAACTCATTTTCTTTCAAGTGGTTATGACTTGTTAATTTTTTAAAAAAAGAGGAAATTGTACTTATTAAATTAAAGTAAAAAGGTGCAAAAAAAGAAATTTATGCAGTAAATTTAAGATATGTAGATATTAAATTTATTTTGTAAATTTAAGTTCATTTTTTCACACTTTGATACGAAATAGTTGTTCGTTCATAAATAAATTTATCCCTACACCGATCCAATGAAATGTGTTCGTAACGCTTTTGCTGCTTACATTAATACATTAAACTTTGTGTTGAATATGGTGGTGTTATTGACTGGAGATTTAATGGAACTTATTTATATCCAAAACTCAAAGAATGTGGTGAGAATAAATGTGTAACATAGCATTCCCTTTTTTCACACTTTGATACAAAATAGTTGTTCGTACATAAATAAATTCATCCCTGAAAGTTCATCATCGGTTATGTAGAAAAAACATGCAGTAACAAAGGAGAAATTTTCTCAGAATGCGGATCTGCTTGTGCAAAAACATGTCGTGATATATCACGTGGTTTAAAATGCAGTGAAAGATGCATTCCTGGATGCCAGTGTCCAAAAGGATCTTACTTGGACGACAAGAATCATTGTGTTCCTATGAAGGAATGCCCATGTTTCTTTGAAGGAAGTTATTACAAGGCGGGTGAAAGTGTGAAAGTTGGACGTTGTAAAACCTGGTCGGTATTTCTTTAAGCATAATTATATCAATAATTTCTATCTTCACTATAGTTTCGTTTTTTTGTTTTATGTCTTTTCGTTAGTACGTGTAATATGGGAGCTATGGCGTGTGTGGAAGACCGAAAATGCTCCTCCAAAGGTAATAATAACAATGACTTTTTTACATGTCTAGCTACAACATGTAAAGTACTAAGCTATGAGTACATTTGCTAAAAAAAAAACAAATTTTACGTTAAAGTTGAAGAAAATGTGAATGTTTTGGAAACAAAATTTTTTTCATGATTAGCCGTAAGAACATTCATTCATTACACATAAATATTTTGTTTTTTATTTATTTGCATGTCAATGAATGCTCTGTTAGAAACGTTGTGCGAGCAAATTAAATATTTTTATAGGTCCTTGTGAGTCTTTTCCATGCAAAAATGATGGTGTTTGTTCTGAGAAAGGAAATACATTCTCTTGTAAATGTAAAAAGGGATTTCAAGGCAAAACTTGTGAAGGTTTGTTACATCATACTTTTGCACTAAAATTTGACGAGACAACTTGCAACACACGGTTTTTTACTCTAATGTAGCTACATTTTACATTGGCATATGATAGATAATTAACAAATAGATAACATTTAACCACTGTCTCGCCCCGGTGGCTCGTGGCCACTTTTGTAGCTTTTATTACAAAGGACGTCTTACTCGTGTAACTATAACTGTATAGACAACGGTAAATGTTATCTATTTCTTTTGCATAATAAAATCAAAGGAATTCCCAAATTAAACCGTCAAACAGTTTGTTTTCTTTGTCCCCCAACACTTGGAACATTGAAATGTCTGGATTATCAAAATATTGCGCTTACTTGATCTATAAGGTTAAAGAAATACTATTGGTTAGCTTAATCACGTGATAAAATGTGAATGAGTAACAAAATAAATAAGCAATGGCTGATCAGTGTTTTTGAAATTTTGTTATCGAAGACGATGTACAACTTAATGTTTGAAAACTGGGTTTTTTCTTTTCTTTTTGCTCCAATACGTCAACTGCCTGAACTAGGTCTTTGTGAATATCTTTATTTTCCACTCAGGGAGGTATTGCGATAAATTTTCAAATATATCTGCAATTTGTATGTTTTAATTAACACGAAATTTTCTGTGACGTCAATTCCGGGCGTCTGTCCTTTTATAGATCATAGTTCTCGACCAATGAAATTGCTCAAATTCTTCTGGTTATTATATAATACATACATGGATCATTAGTATCTCAACTTACAAAAAGAAATGATAAAGCTTTCAATTGCACCAAATCATATGCGATTTTATTTATTTGATAGTTAGAAATATAAACCTATAGTATTACTAAACATTCATGTGTTTTAATAAGAGAAATAGTTATGATCAATTAACCCACTGAAAAAAATTATATTAATTTAGTTTTCCTTTTAAAATTTCCGATGTTTCGGGATATGTAATTTTAGAGGAAATAAATATAGTGGAGGGCTGTCTAATGCTTAATTAACAAATACAGTTTTATAGCATGCTCTCTACATTTATGTGTCGGAAAAATGTCAAGTAGTGTCATGGCTTTGAATCGTTGGGGACAGTGTTATTAAGGATTAGAGAGGAGAGTGCTTCTGCTACGGATAGGTACTCATAGATTTTCTTATCTCAAGAGGGTGGGGGTTGTACAGCGGCTAAGGTATTTTCTTAATGACGTTCCCGATAATAGTTATATAATTTGATTTAATTTCCAGTTAAACTGTTGCTGGAATTGCTTGAATATATATCCAGAGTTTTTGGTTAATACATACTTCAAATTTTCCCCATTCTGCGTACTCAGTTCGTAAATGTAAACGGAAGTATAATTTAGACTAATCGTATGGTCTTTCTTTACACATACAGAGTTAACACCAACACCTTGCGACTCGCGTCCATGTAAAAACGACGGTATTTGCACAAACAATGGAGATAAATTCACGTGTGAATGTGCTTCTGGTTTTAAAGGCAAAACATGTGAAGGTTTGTTCATTGATGAGTTTTGTAAAATAGCTAATTTTTAAGAAAAATAATTTAATGTTAAGTCAAACATCATAAATTGCCATGATACAATGATTAAATCTAAGGTGTTCCGTAATTTTGTATTTTGTTCGATATTGCCTATTTATTAATGCTTTAAAATGTTTTAAGTTATGTTATAAAGATCATTGTAATGTATAAATAGCTAGACAATTTAAGCAATTGTCTCATGAACCTGAGAAATTCAGGTGACTCAACGGGATTCGAACCTATGACCTCTGCGGTGCCGGTGCAGTGCTCTGACCAACTGACCTATGAAGTCACACAGTGGTGAGCAGGTCAATTTTGTTGGGCTCATGTTTTCTCGTGAAAGGATTGTCATATGAAAGAATGTTTTATGCAGTGCGGTGTTTGAAATTAAATGTAGATATGATCTTCGCACTTTGCTGGACAATTTAAGCAATTGTCTCATAAACCTGAAAAATTCAGGTGACTCAACGGGATTCGAACCCATGACCTCTGCGGTGCCTGTGCAGTGCTCTGACCAACTTAGCTGGTTAAGACAAAGTCCTTTCGCGTTTATAGCTACTTATCATATTTTAGAACGAAAATATATCAAAAAACGGCAAATATACGAATAGCTATTCAAGAGTTTTATGATTAAGCATAAAAAATTCTGTTGTATAAGGAACTTTACACTTAAGAACAACACATATGTTTTAGAAAATCAAATGTTATTGGCTTCAAAAGTTCAGTACGATGAAAAATAAATAAAAAAAGAAATATTTGATAAAATGAACTGTCGTTTCATCTAAGCCTAATTTTTTGAACAAGTCCTTTTTACATAGCCACACACTTAAAATTCACAATTATTGAAAATCAGTTTATTATTTTCATGTTCAATGACTTATGCAACAATTGAAAATCATAATTTTCTTGTTTTTGGTTTATTAACACATTTTGCGTGATTTGAATATAAACGTTTTCGAATACTTGCATGCCTTTTTTTTTAAGATAAATCACGATATTTGGTATTTTTTTTTCAATATATTGCTGTCAATTAAAATTACAAAAAATAAAGTTTTTAATTTTAACATAATCATTGTTAAATGAAGATATGATCTTCGCACGTTGCTGGACAATTTAAGCAATTGTCTCATGAACCTGAAAAATTTAGGTGACTCAACGGAATCCCGCTTAATTTCAAACACCGCACTGCATATAACATTCTTTCATAAACATTGTTACCGAATTAGTGTGCTGCGCTCCTTTGCATTTTACATAAAGCTCAAAATTTGTCTGACGGTTTTTTTCTAAAATATGTTTTTATATAGTTGGAGTTTGTGATCATAGTCCTTGTAAGAATGGTGGTTCGTGTGTTGTTGATGGTAGTTCATACAAATGTACATGCCCTCCAGACTTTATTGGTATTCATTGTGAAACAAGTAAATGGAAATCTTACATTCATTGTAACACTACGTAACTAGAAAAAATGCGTGATCCGATATCAGGGTTATACATAATGCAGTAAAACGTTCACTGATGTAAACATTTTTATTGAACAAGCTTTCGTGTGTCTGTCTACAGCCTTCGACATGTTAGCCTCCGTCGAAGGCTCTAGACAGATAGACGAAAGCTTGTTCAATAAAAATTTTATATCAGTGAACCTTTTGACTTCACTACGTAACTAACACATATATATGGCTTAAAATAATAAACATGTAGTTTCATACTATAGTATCATGTTTTAGCAAAAACTAGAACATTTGACTGGTTTCACCTTTATACAAATACAATATCGTGTCTAAATATTATAAAGTTGGTATTTTTCAACAAAAGTCAATTTTGGAACTGCATCTTTAGCAAATAGATTTACGTACTCTAACAGAAAAAATTATGTTTTAAAAATTATCTTACAAATAGTATTTTGGGTTTTATTTTAGAAGTTCCAAATCCTTGTGAGCCAAATCCATGTAAAAATGGTGGACAATGCAACATTTTGGGTAACAGCTACACATGTAAATGCAAACCTGCTTTTGGTGGAAATAACTGCGAACATTCACAATGTAAGTAAAATCAGCAGAAATTTCATTCCCAGCTACCTAATTACTAAAACAACCTGTGATTTCTGATTCAATTTTGTTTGTTAAAATTTAATTCAAAAAATTTAATCTCAAGACATGCTTAAATAATCTTCGTTCTGCATGCTTTCATGTTGTTCATTATTAATAATACTTAACTGGCATGATGGAGAAGACCAAGTGCAGGGCAAAGAGTGTGTGATGTAACTTGCAGAAAACATTGAACATTATTTTCGTTTAAAAGTCACATATCAACTTAAAAATAATGATCAGTCCGTCATTTAAATGACTTTTCTAAACATGTTAATGCAGCAAACATAGACTCTGCAGTTTTTCATGAAAATTCCGCTTTCCTCAAAAAAGGTAAAAAAAGAAAAATCTGTCCTTTGAACGATTATAGAAAGTCAGGAAACATTTCATATTGCAAACTTTAACATCGCACTCAGCGTTTTCCACCATGCAAAAATATTTAACTGTATAAATATTGATATAGTTCCTGTTTCATGTTGCATTCTTTATAATTTCTGTAGCAACATGCATTGCATCTGGGGATCCTCATTACACCTCATTTGATGGCAAAAGATTTAACTTCATGGGAGATTGTGAATACGACTTTGCTAAAGATTGCAGCGAAAACAAACTTTTTACAGTCCGCACTAAAAATACGCGATGTGGGAGGCGTGTCACTCAGGCGTGTACAGCGGCTGTTAAGATCTATATAGCTGGTTACTTCATTCAGTTCACTCGTCAAAGACGTTCCGCAGTTGTAAACGGAGTTAGGCTTTCACAATTTCCAATAGTTCGTCCTGGTATGTGTTTCTAGGTTATTTTTCTTGACATCTTTTAAATTAATCTTTATAATAAAAAGGAAAGTTATTAAAGAGCTTAAAATTATGACAGTAGGTAAACCCTATTGTCACCTCATTTTAGTAGAACAAAGAGATCTTTTGCTTTTAGTATATAACTATGTTTTTTTTAAGGATTTAAAATCACTAATCCCAGTGGGAGTTGGCTGGTTTTTACTGCTGACATCGGAATGTCGACGAGTTGGAACAGTAGGACATACGTCAAAGTCACCGTTTCAGGAAAATACAAGGGAAAGATATGCAGCACATCTCTATGTGGCAACAACAATGGTCGTCGAGATGATGACAATCAATACAGCAGAAAATGTGCGTCATCATCTCAACCATGTATCATTGCTTCCCAGAAGAAAGCTGTAATAGATAAATGTCACTTGATGAGCGATGCTTCATCTCCATTCCACAAAGCGTGCAACCGTTATGTTGATCCAGCCGCCTTGATCAGTAATTGTAAATATGACGCATGTCGCTGCACAGATCCAATGAAATGTGTTTGTAACGCTTTTGCTGCTTACAGTAAACTTTGTGTTGAATATGGTGGTGTTATTGACTGGAGATTTAATGGAACTTATTTATATCCAAAACTCAAAGAATGTGGTAAGAATAAATGTGTAAAATAGCAAACACTTTGACACAGAATAGTTGTTCGTACATAAATAAATTTATCCTTGAAAGTTCATTATCTGTTATGTAGAAAAAACATGCAGTAACAAAGGAGAAATTTTCACAGAATGCGGATCTGCTTGTGCCAAAACATGTCGTGATATATCACGTGGTTTAAAATGCAGTGAAAGATGCATTCCTGGATGCCAGTGTCCAAAAGGATCTTACTTGGACGATAAGAATCATTGTGTTCCTATGAAGAAATGTCCATGTTTCTTTGAAGGAAATTATTACAAGGCGGGTGAAAGTGTCAAAGTTGGACGTTGTAAAACCTGGTCGGTATTTCTTTAAGCATAATTATATCAATAATTTTTATCTTCACTATAGTTTTGTTTTTTGTTTTGTATCTTTTCTTCAGTACGTGTAATATGGGAGCTATGGCTTGTGTGGAAGACCGAAATTGCTCGTCCAAAAGTAAAAATAACAATGACTTTTTTCCATGTCTAGCTACAACATGTAAAGTACCAAGTTATGAGTACGTTTGCTAAAAGAAACAAATTTTACGTTAAAGTTGAAGAAAATGTGAATGTTTTCAAGACAAAAATTTTTTCATGATTAGCCGTAAGAACATTCACTCATTACACATAAATATTTTGTTCTTTATTTATTTTGCATGTCAATGAATCCTCTGTTAGAAACGTTGTGTGCGCAAATTAAATATTTTTTAGGTCCTTGTGAGTCTTTCCCATGCAAAAATGATGGTGTTTGTTCTGAGAAAGGAAATACATTGTCTTGTAAATGTAAAAAGGGATTTCAAGGCGAAACTTGTGAAGGTTTGTCACATTATACTTCTGTATCAATATTTGACGAGACAACTTGTAACACGCGGTTTTTTATCCTAATGTAGCTACACTTGACATTGGCATATGATAGATAATTAACAAATAGATAACATTTAACCACTGTCTCGCCTCGGTGGCTCGTGGCCACATTTTTAGATTTTATTACAAAGGACGTCTTACCCGTGTAAATATAACTGTATAGAAAACGGTTCAATGTTATCTTTTTGTTTTATATAATATAATCAAAGAAATTCCCAAATTAAACTGTCGAACAGTTTGTTTTCTTTGTCCCCCAACACTTGGGACATTGAAAAGTCTGGAGAATGCAAATATTGCGCTTACTTGATCTATAAGTATAAAGAAATACTATTGGCTAGCTTAATCACGTGATAAAATGTGCTTGACCTACAAAATTATCAAGCAATTGCTGATCAGTGTTGTTGAAATCTTGTTATCGAAGACAAAGTACAAATTAATGTTTGAAAACTGGGTTTTTCTTTTCTTTTTACTCAAATACGTTTACTGCCTGAACTAGGTCTTTGTGAATATCTTTATCTTCCATTCAGGGAGGTATTGCGATAAATTTTCAAATATATCTGCAATTTGTTTGTTTTTATTAACATGAAATTTTCTGTGACGTCAATTCCGTGCGTCTGTCCTCTTATAGATCATAGCTCTCGACCAATGAAATAGCTCAAATTCTTCTGGTTATTATATAATAGATATGTGGACCAGTAGTATCTCAATTTACAAAAATAAATGATAAAGCTTTTAATTGCACCAAACCATATGCGATTTTAGTTATTTGATAGTTAAAAATATAAACCTATAGAATTACAAAACATTCATGTGTTTTAATAAGAGAAATAGTTATGATCAATTAACCCATTGAAAAAAATTATATTAAGTTAGTATTTTTTTAAAATTTCCGATGTTTCGAGATATATAATTTTAGAGGAAATAAATATAGTGTAGGGCTGTCTAATGCTTAATTAACAAATACAGTTTTATAGCATGCACTCTACATTTATGTCTGAACATTTTTTAAGGAGTGTGAGGGCTTTGGATCGTTGGGGACAGTGTTATTAAGGATTAGAGAGGAAAGTACTCGTGTTACGGATAGGGACTCTTAGATATTTTATCTCAACAGGGGGGGGGGGTTGTACAGCGGCTAAGTTATTTCTTAATGCCATTCCCGATAACAGTTGAATAATTTGATTTAATTTCCAGTTAAACTGTTGCTAGAATTGCTTGAATACATATCCAGAGTTTTTGGTTAAAACATATTTCAAATTTTCCCCATTCTGCGTATTCAGTTCGTAAATGTCCAAGGAAAGTATAATTTAGACTAATCGTATGGTCTTTCTTTACACATACAGAGTTAACACCAACACCTTGCGACTCGCGTCCATGTAAAAACGACGGTATTTGCACAAACAATGGAGATAAATTCACGTGTGAATGTGCTTCTGGTTTTAAAGGCAAAACATGTGAAGGTTTGTTCATTGATGAGTTTTGTAAAATAGCTAATTTTTAAGAAAAATAATTTAATGTTAAGTCAAACATCATAAATTGCCATGATACAATGATTAAATCTAAGGTGTTCCGTAATTTTGTATTTTGTTCGATATTGCCTATTTATTAATGCTTTAAAATGTTTTAGGTTATGTTAAAAAGATTATTGTAATGTATAAATAGCTAGACAATTTAAGCAATTGTCTCATGAACCTGAGAAATTCAGGTGACTCAACGGGATTCGAACCCATGACCTCTGCGGTGCCGGTGCAGTGCTCTGACCAACTGACCTATGAAGTCACACAGTGGTGAGCAGGTCAATTTTGTTGGGCTCATGTTTTCTCGTGAAAGGATTGTCATATGAAAGAATGTTTTATGCAGTGCGGTGTTTGAAATTAAATGTAGATATGATCTTCGCACTTTGCTGGACAATTTAAGCAATTGTCTCATAAACCTGAAAAATTCAGGTGACTCAACGGGATTCTAATATAGCTAGTTTTTAAGAAAAATAATTTAATGTTAAGTCAAACATCACAAATTGCATTGATACAATGATTAAATCTAAGGTGCTCCGTAATTTTGTATTTTGCTCGATATGGCCATTTTATTAGTCCTTTAAAATGTTTTAGGTTATGTTAATTAATATTATTGTAATGTATATTGAATAGCTTGTTAACAAGTATTATTTGATTTCCTTTCTTTATTTTCGTATTTTGTCTTTGTATATTTTATCGTATCTTCACTTTCGCATTAATCGTATTTTATACTGTCTATACGGCGCTTGCTCCTTCTTCTAAGCTCAAAACGAAAAGAAAACTAAATGCTCATGCTTTGTAGGTCATTGCAAATTACAATAACACATGCATAACCCCGGTAAATATTACAAAACATTTGAAACTTGTCAATTTTGTATTTAGAGCTATCATTTGATTTTTCTGTAAGGTTAAGACAAATTCCTTTCGCCTTTGTAGTTACATATCATATTTTAGAACGAAAATATATAAAAAAAACCTGCAAATATACAAATAGTTATTCTTAGTTTTATTTTTAAGCATAAAAAGTTTCTGTTGTATGAGGAACTTTACAATAAAGAAACAACGCATATGTTTTAGAAAATCAACCGTTATTAGTTTCAAAAGTTCAGCTCGATGAAAATAAATAAAAAAAGAACTATTTAATAAAATGAACTGTCGTTTCATCTAGGGCTAATTTTTGTGAGCAAGTCCTTTATACACAGCCACATACTTAAAATTTACAATTATTAAAAATCAGTTAATTATTTTCATGTACAATTTGTGTGATTTGAATATAAACGTTTTCGCATACTTGCATGCCTTTTTTTGTAAAATAAATCACGATATTTGGTGTTGTTTTCAATATATTGCTGTCAATTAAAATTAAAAAAAATATAGTTTTTCATTTTAACATAATCAGTGTTACCGAATTAGTGTGCTGCGCTCCTTTGCATTTTTCTAAAATATATTTTTTACATAGTTGGAGTTTGTGATCATAGTCCTTGTAAGAATAGTGGTTCGTGTGTTGTTGATGGTAGTTCATACAAATGTACATGTCCTCCAAACTTTATTGGTATTCACTGTGAAACAAGTAAATGGAAATCTTACATTCATTGTAACACTAGTAACTAGAAAATTGCGTGACCCGATATCAGAATCATACATAATGCAGTAAAACGTTCACTGATAGGAAACTTTTTACTGAACAAGCTTTTAGTTGTCTGTTTACAACCTTCGACATGTTAGCCTTCGTCAAAGGCTGTAGACAGACAGCCGAAAGTTTACTCAATAAAACATTCTATATCAGTGAACGTTTGACGTTTGACTGTAGGTGATTTAGGCATTTTTACTGTACAAATCTAAGCCAATCTCCTAAACACACAAACTTTTAAACGAATCAATCACAATTAAGATGCAAACTGGTGATTTTTTTGTAAGGCCTTCACAATGCTAAGTATCATATTTTTAAATCGAAATCACAAAACTTGCTTGTGATATGAGAAAGTAATTTCTAAAAAAAAACATTTATTCAAAAATTTGTAATCAAATTAAAGTTGAAGAAAATTCTGTTTTAACACGTATTGTCAGTCGGCAAATGTTGACGAATTTTAAAATAAAATCGGTAATCGGCACAACTGAAAGCGTAGATGAAGGAAAATATAAATGAGTAAAAATTTTATCTTACTATAGTCAGATTAGGAAGTCAAATACAAGAATTTAAACTTTGTCTAGATGTCTGGGTAAGCTGTTATATTTTTATGGGTAAATCCTTATTTAACATGACATTGTAAATATGTTACCCTACATATTTTAATCTGTGGGTTTAGTGGGTTTTTTATGATTTCCCTCTGGCTGTTAGCGGCAATATATTTGCTCCCAATTTTAATTCAACAGGAAGCAAGTTTAGTTTAACAAATCCATAAAATTATTCTATGTTTTACTGACTTTTGTGCTTGTAATCTAGTTTTATCTTGCAGCGTTTACTTCTGCTTTGCCTTTGATTAATTTTACGTCGTGCACGAGTTTTTATCAAAACGTATAAAAAAGACAACTTGTTTTGTATTGATTATTTGTTTTGATGACTTTCATCTTTTATAATCTTAAGCTTGTGTTGTTCTGTCAGCATGGTCTCATTGATTTGAATAATAAAGTTGATAACGGATAAAATTTTATTTTAAAAGATACTTGTTAATGCTTCTTAAGCAGTAAAACAAAATAAAATAAGTCTTTTTATGTACTTGTCTTTTCAATATATCTCCATATTACGATGTTTCCACTCTTCATTTTGACATTCAACCTCCCCCCCCCAGTTGTGATCACTTGGCAAGGGCCAAGAGTTTAATAACGTTCAAAACCACTTCAAAGCTACTTATGCACAAAATCGCATAATAAAGGATTATTTTTTACCTCCATTCTGTATGCAACCAATGAATACTGTCAAATAATAATGTTGCTTCAAGGATTTTATTTTCAGACACAATAAAAACTTCTTTAATGAATTATTGCTCTGTCCTTTCATTTTTAAATATAAATTACGTTATTTATTTAGTCAACGTTAAACCTGTCTGCGTAAATGCAAATTGGTGGGGATCTTTCGACAAACAAGGATGGTCAACTTGTAACACCACAAACCAGTTTATCACTGGCTTATATCGCAGCACATTAAGTCCCAACTATGATGGACTTTACCGTCTTGAAGAAGCCAAATGCTGCAAATCTAGTCCAATATATATTGGACAGGAAAGTATTTGCCAATATGCTGACTGGTGGGACTCTTTCAACAAGTTAGTATTTTTCCCCAGAATCAATCTTTTAAATGGTGTTAATTGTCTGTTGGTTCATTTTCTCAGTTCTTGCTACTAAGAAAATGAAGGAAACGTAAGGAATTTGGATACATTACTTGCACTATGATTTAAAATGATTAACTTTTGCGATTGTTTAGTTTAACGTAAAAAATGCATATCAATATTTACAGGTTGATCCAGGATAGTGCTTACTATTCTAACTTTCAATTTTGATTTTTATCAAGTTTTGTACTTTATTGTTTTTGTTACCTAATTTTGAACACTGATGGTATTAGTAGCAACCAATAGCCGAATCATTCTTAGCCTCTTAACGTGGCAACTTGAACACAAGGCGCAATGTCTTGAACAAAAGTTGTCCTTAAATTTAGTGAAAAATTTTTTTTACGATCTTTCGTCTGTTGGTTTTCCATGTGCTCGTAGCTAGCTACATTTTAACTTGTGTAGCAACACTTTTCTAATGAAGATTTACGTAATTAAATTGACGCATTTAAGACTGTATACATAAACCTATAAATTGTATGAAAAAATAAGCAGGATAAGCTGTTTAACTCGTAATGCTGAACAACAACCAAAACGATTAAAAATAGTAAATGCAATCATCTGTGTGTGTCATTCAATCATAAAAAAATAAAGATAGAAACTTATTGCCTTAAAAATATATTTCAGAACAGGGTGGAGTGTTTGTTCAAATGGATATTTTCTAAATGGTCTCTATCGCTCAAAGGGAGAACACTTACAAAACATCGAACAGGGAAAATGTTGCAAACCAGTCAATCATCCCGAAAACTATGATAACTGTCAGCATGAATATATCAAAAGTGATTTCAACAAAAAAGGATGGACAATATGTAAAAAAGATGGCTACTACGTCACTGGATTAAGACGAGATTCTGGGAATTGGCTAAAGGACATTGACAGTTTTAAATGCTGTAAAATGTGGAGTGGTAAGAATCACAAAAACTAATTCTTTTTCAATATTTAAGTAAAATTAAATGTTTCATTATCTCTGTTTGTGTAGGCTGAAGCCCTATGCCAACTACCTGATAAATAACCAAGTAATGATTTTATAAAAAAAAGTTGTTGTTGTAGTTAGAAACTGTTATTTCAGTTATTTTATTAACTCGTTTTTCAAATAAAGCTTTGATACAAAAGGAATGTGGATATTTTTGACTTTTCATAGCACAAACTGCATGTCCACGAAGTTTTAACGCAAGATTCCCTTCATTTCTATAATCACACTTGTCTGTATAGTTTTATTGTATGATTATACACGTAGATGGGCTTTACTTTTATGTTCGTGAGAACAGTTGCGATAATAATATTCAAAATTGTGTATCTGTTATTTGTTAAAAATCAGCTATCACTCCTACTTAGCGAGAAAATAATAATTTTTCACTACACATATGGCATAAAAAAGTAGAATCTTACAAACGACCAAATGCGATGTCATTGATCTATTGCAATGAAATGGAGCTATAGTATAACAATTCAATTTTTTATCTATAATTACTATAAATTAATTCGTCGATTTATGCGTCAAAAAATGTGATGCTGAATATTCTCGCAAACTAAAAACAAACAAATCATCGTAAACAATGTAAGAAGTGATTTCAATTTCATCAAAATAGTAAACCAAGAAACATAGCTACTCGGTATAAAACGTTCTTGAACAGAACATATCAAATGAATGGACATATTGATCGTCACAAAAAAACAAAAAGTTATTCCTTGTCGAAATCCTCCTCACCATCGCTCAATTTGCACAGTATGGTCTTCTGCTGTCCTTATATATTTCAATTAAAACTGCTCGTGTTGTGTCTTGCTCTTGTTTTCAAGAAATTTTATGTATGTTTTTTCATTGAAATATAGGATAAATCATAAACACTAATGTTCATCATATTAAAATGGAAATGGTAAAAATGACCTCATAAATTTATTTAAACTTGTTGTTTGGCACTTTGGCTTGTCACGTTCGTTGATGAAAATTAACAGTTAAAAGAAAAAAAACTCTTTCACAGAATATGTGGTTGATAGTCACCATTTATTTCGCCTAGTTATACCAAATGACATTGCATTTATTGCAGTAACGTCACAATTATGCTTTTTTAAGCAAATTGATAATTTTACGATAAAAATGAGGGTATTGACAATTATTTGAGCTTGATTTCTCATGTTTCCGGACAAAAAGAACTAGAACTGTAATGATAGTTGCCCCTTATGGGACACCCCGAAGCTTGTAGGAGTTAGTTGTCAGTTCAATAAACAAGTTTACGCGACAGCCCTCGTGCATTTTGTATTACTTTACTACATGGTGTCAGAAAATAATTTATCATGGACCACTTAAAACCTCTAGAGCCTCTCATCTTAGATGAAAACGCCGCAGAAAGATGACGGAAATGGCGACAAAGATGGGACATTTACTCGAAAGCAAGCGGGGCCATTTCAAAAGATCAAGACACGCAGTGTGCAATCTTTCTCCACATGATTGACGAAGATGCCCTCGAGATTTACGATACATTCACATTCACCGAAGAAGAAGAAGGTAAAATCGACCCACTTATCGAGAAATTCGAAGAACACTGCTCCCCAAAGAAAAATGTCACATACGAAAGGTACAAGTTCAGCACATGCTCACAAAATGGCCGACCGCTCGACGTCTTCCTCGTTGACCTACGAAATAAAGCAAGAACCTGCGAGTTCGGAGAGCTGCAAAACAGTCTGATAAGGGATCGAATCGTATGTGGAATCGACAATAATTCCGTAAGAGAACGACTCCTACGAGATAACACTCTAACCCTCGACAAAGCCATCAACACCGTCCGAGCAGGCGAGACAAGCCACACACAAGTCAAAAACCTAGCAACACAACCAATCGGAGCAGCTGCCATCCAAACTACGTGAGCTAGCTACCAAAAGCGAAGCCCTCAACAAAAAGGAAAACCTTGTAGACGCTGTGGTACACATCACCTGATTAACCAATGTCCAGCTTACGGCCAAAAGTGCTCAAAGTGTCAAGGCAAAAACCACTACGCCAAAATGTGCTTCGCTAACTCTACCAGAAATAAACTCCACGAAATAACTGAAGAAGCCCCTCAAGAAACTCAAGACGGTGTTGAAAACTAGGAAGAAATTTTCCTCGGTGAAATAAACAAGCCTAACGGAAACGAAATACTCACTAGCATTAAAGTAAACAACAAAGTCATCAGCTTCAAAATCAAAACTGGTGCTCAGTGTAATATAATGCCACTCAGCGTGTTCACTTCACTAAACGACAAACCAACTCTTCACCAGACAAACACCAAAATAAAAGCCTACGGAGGAACCCAAGTACCAATGTACCCAAGTACCCAAGTACCAGTGGTAAATGCTACATGAGCATCGAACACAGCAACAAGAAAATTCATAGCGAATTCTACGTCGTTGAAATCGACAACTCGAAGCCACTGATTGGTCTACAAACATGCCGTGACCTCAACCTCATTAGCATAAATGATGTCTGTGAAACTCACCAAACCGAACAAAACATTTTCATAGAGTATCAAGATGTTTTCAAAGGTATTGGCCTCGTCAATGGTGAATACCACATCGAAATTAAAAGTGATGCTAAACCTACAATTCATCCACCAAGAAAAGTCCCACTAAGTTTAATGCCACGCTTGAAATCAACACTAGAAAATCTCACGGAGACAGGAATTATCGGCAAAGTTGACCTAGCTACAGACTGGGTGAACAACCTGGTCATAGTAGAAAAAAGAAATGGAATGCTACGACGGTGCCTAGATCCCAAACATCTAAATCAAGCCATTAAAAGAGAGTACTACAACCCACCGTCAGCCGAAGAAATCTCAAATAAACTCAATGGCACTGAGTTGTTCACTGTAATTGACATGACAAGCTGCTACTGGCACAAGAAACTTGACGAAAAATCTTCTTACATTTGCGCATTCCACACTCCATTTGGGAGATATAAATTTAACCAGATGCCATTTGGAATCTGTTCAGCATCTGACGTCGCGCAGAAAATGGTTGATGATAATTTTTCAGATATCCCTGGTGTACTTTCAGTCTATGACGACATCACCATCGCTGCTAAAGACAAAGAAGAACATGACAAAACCCTCATCAAAGTCCTCGATCGTGCCAGAGATCGAAACATCAAGTTCAACAAAGAGAAAATCCAACTACGCGTCAAAGAAGTAAAATATCTGGGCAACATTATAAACGCCAAAGGGTTCCACCCAGATACAGAAAAAATCAATGCAATCCTAGAGATGCCCAAACCACAGAACAAGCAAGATCTACAACGTTTACTAGGTATGGTCAATTTCCTGTCACAATACATACTCGATATGTCTGAAATTACAGCCCCATTAAGATAGATATTGCTTAAGAAAGATATTGCATGGATCTGGCTGGCAGAACATGATGAAGCTGTTACAAAGATAAAGGAAGCACTAACCAGCAGCCCTGTTCTTAAGTTCTTTGACAACGACCAGCCAATAACTCTCCAAGTCGATGCATCACAAGGGGGCCTTGGAGCTTGTCTGATTCAAAACGAACATCCTGTCATCTATGCACCTAGACCTCTTAATAATGCAGAAACACAGTATGCACAAATCGAGAAAGAACTTCTCGCCATAGTATTTGCATGCGAACGCTTCAACCAATATGTTTATGGACGAGAGATCATAGTAGAAAGCAACCACAAACCACTGGAAGCAATAATGGCGAAGCCACTATGCCAAGCTCCACCCCGGATTTAACGCCTCTTAATAAGACTGCAGAAGTATCAAGTAACAGTGAAATATGTTCCTGGAAAATACATGTTCATAGCTGACACTCTCTCTAGAGCATATATCAAGACCGACGGTGAACAACTATACCTCAATGATGACATCGAAGTCATGGTTCACAGATTAGTCACCAATATCCCGGTGACATCAGAGAAGATAGCTGAACTCAAAGCTGCTACCAAAGAAGATAAAACCCTTCAAACTCTAAAAGAGACAATCAAGCAAGGTTGGCCAAAACACCGACAATCAGTACCAACATGCATCACACCCTACTAGAATGTAAGATATGAACTGAGTGAGGCCGAAGGACTTCTATTTAAAGACAACAGACTCATCATTCCATTATCCATGAGGAAAGATATGCTACAATTAATCCATGAAAGCCATCAGGGCATAGAAAAGTGCAAGAATAGAGCTAGATCAGTGATATACTGGCCAGATATGAATAAGGACATTATTACTGTTGTATCTAACTGTACTTTTTGTGCTACCTTTAGAAGCCAGAACCACAAGGAACCCATGATACCACATGAGATACCTGAGCTCCCTGGCAGAACGTGGCATCTGATCTATGCGAATACCAATGTAAAACCCACCTCGTGATTGTAGATTATTTCTCAAAGTACATCGAAGTCAGTCTGTTACCAAATAAAACTGCAAAAACTGTCATCACACACACAAAGTCAATTTTTGCACGTCATGGTATACCACAAGAACTCATATCAGACAACATGCCATTCAACAGCAGAGAATTTAGAGGGTTTGCAGAAAACTGGGTACTCAAAATCACCACATCTAGTCCCACATACCCACAATCCAATGGGCTTAGTGAAAAAGCTGTGCAAACTGTGAAGAGGATCCTAAAAAAACCTCAGACCCCTATATTGGTCTCCTTGAGTACAGAAAAACCCCTGTCACAAGTATGTGGTATACGTCATCACAACTATGGTGTTGCGATGAATTGCTACAACCCAAGCTAGCAACAGATGTTACAAAAGAATTGAAACGATGCCAAAAGACACAAAAACACTATTATGACCAGAACTCCAGACCATTGTCGCCACTCACGGAGAATGAAGGTATAAGGCTACGTCAGAACAACACTTGGGTCCCAGCAAAAGTAATATATCCCGCAACAACACCTCGCTCCAACATAGTTTCAACACCGAATGGCCAAAAGTATCGACGCAACAGGCGACATCTCTTGAAGACAGAGGCAACAGCCGATTTCACCACAACAGCCTTACCGAGCACAGATGATGATAACCAGGCTGAATCAGAAACCACTGTTGATGAACCTGGAGCATCTTCACCCACTCCTCTACTTAGAAGGTCTACAAGAACCCGAACAATACCTA